TCAAACTAAACTTAAATCCATTCAAATGGATTGGGGAGGATAATTTCGAGCCCTTCCAAATTTCTTTTCTCCACTTGGTGTTAGTCACCGACGTTTATGTCCACATACAAATGAGCAAAATGGCTTTGTAGAATGTCGCCATCGACATGTGGTAGAAATGTGTCTCACCTTACTTGCTTAATCTAGGGTATCCTCATGATTTTGGCATTTTACCAATGACACAACTGTTTATCTCATAAATCGCATGCCCTATCGTACCTCTTCAAATATCTCACCACTTGAGCATGCTTTGTCCTATAAACCAGACTTTACATTCTTACATGTGTTTAGTTGTTTGTGATTTCCTCATCTATGAACCTACGATAAACATAAAATGGAATTTCGTTGTACTCCTTGTGTTTTTCTTGGGTATAGCACAGAACATCATGGTTGCAGGTGTCTAGATCTAACTACTGATCATATTTATGTTGCTAGACATGTTCGGTTCGTTGAAGATAGTTTTCCATTCCAAAAATCATCACCACCACTTCCTGAACCCACCATTTCTACTCCTTATGTTTCCAACCACCCTACACCATTGTTATCTTCATATCCTAACACCACAATATCTCCCATCAGCCCATCAATTCCACATACACCCGATCTGTCCACTACTGCTGCCACCCAGTAGCCATCTAAGCCTGCTCCTACCCTCAAACAACCATCTTTGGTTGTTCCAGATGGTACACAACCCTCTACAGGTACGAGACAACCTACAACATTTGCTCTTCTGCAAACTGATGCCTCTTGCCCATGCATTCGTCCATCTAATTTGCGGCAACATCCTAAACAACGAGACTCTTATGATCCATCACCTTAAATTGATAATTTAAATGTCTCCGACATTGAACCTACCACCTTTGCCGCTGCTAATAAACCACCAAAATGGTGGGTTGTCATGGCTGGCGAATATTCAACCCTCATGCGTAAGGCTACGTGGTCTCTCGTTCCACCTGTTTCTAATGCCAACATAGTTCATTGTAAATACGTATACAAACTCAAATGGGATCAAAAAGGTGTTGTCACTCGGTATAAAGCACGCCTAGTTGCTAAAGGGTTCAAGCAACAACATGGTGTTGATTATCATGAAACTTTCATCCCTATTGTAAAGTTTACTACTATTCGTAGAATGTTATCTCTTGCAGTTATACAACAGTGGACACTTCGACGATTAGGTGTGCAAAATGCTTTTCTTCATTGTGAACTAGAAAAGAATGTCTTTTTACGCCAGCCACAAGGTTTTATTGATCCCACATTAGACAATTAATATACTTTAGTATTATAGGGATGTAAAGTTTAATTGTGTGATATATATATATATATATATATATATATATATATATATATATCTATCTTATGTACTCTATTATGTCAATAATATAATATGTGAGTATACACCAAGTTTATCTTGGTATTAGAGCTGTTTTCTCGGCAACCCTAATTGCCGTCAACATTCTTCAACACTTTCAGCTGAACAATGGCCTTAATCGCTGCTTTCACTACACCTGAGAAAACTTCTCACAATTCTTACAAGTTCAGTTTCACTCTTTTTTCCACAAACTATGGTTTTTGGAAAACCTTGATTCATCCCTTTCGTGTCACAAACAATATTATTGGTTATATTGATGGTTCCATTCCCTGTCCATCTGAAACTATTGATCAAACCAGTACTGTAGACAAAGAAACCACCACACAAACCCAGCAAAACCCTAATTATCCGATTTGTATTTCCAATGACGCCCATGTCAGGATGTTGCTCATCTTAACAATATCAACAATCACATGAAGTCTGGCTCTCAGTAGAATGTGCATACGCCTCACACCCGTCTTCTAGGGAATACACTCTCAAAACACAGTTACTAAAGATACAGATGAATCGTGATGAAACCCCAGAAGCCTACCTCAATAGAGCAAAAGAATATGCTGATGCCTTATCCAACATTGGTGAAGCTTTTAAAGAAAAAGATTTGGTTATGCTTGTTATTGCAAGCCTTTGTGAATATTATAATGGTTTCAAATCGAATCTTCTTGCTAGACAAGTTTTAACTACCTTTAATGATTTATAGGGACTACTCTCATATCACGATTACATGATTAAACAATCTATTCCTGTTGTTCCATCACAACCGGCCTTTACTACTAATACTATTGGCATGTCTACTCTAACAGGTTCTTCAAAACAAGATCCTGTTCAAACTCTAAATAAACTTGCTTCACAACTTGGATTCAGCCTACAACCTATCTCCCAACAGCCACAAGCGTTCTTCACTTCATACTCTTTAAATAATTTGGCCATGGTTGTACCACCAACAACCGTGGTTGTGGACGTAGTCCGAACAATCAAACCAACAGAGGACAAGTCAATTGAGCATCCAATCAGAATATGGTGTATGGAACTTGAAACCGATGTGGCATTGGTCACATCCCATCTGATTGTTCGAATCGTGACCAAGAAACCTTTCACAACAGACAACAAACATCAACCAACCATGTTGTTTACCGGTCACAATCTCCTTCCTGGCTACTTGACACCGGTGCTAACAGTCATGTAGCACCAGAATTGTCTAGCGTCGGCATGGCTGGACCATATTATGGTGACGATTTTCTCCATGTTGGCAATGGTAAAGGTTTATCCATTTTACATGTTGGTTCCACTAAGCTTCATTCTCCAAACAAAACTCTTTCCTTACTAAATATTCTTCATTTACTACAAATTAAACAACATCTTCTTTCTGTTCAACAATTCTATCATGATAATAATGTTTTCTTTGAATTTCATGACACCTTTTACTCCATGAAGGACGAGAAGTTGGGCAATATCCTCATCATGGGTCCAAGTAATAACGGGCTCTACTCACTTGACCTTCCATCTTTCCAACCAATTTCAAGAAAGGTCTTCACTACTATTCGTGCCCCTGTTCACACATGGCATCAACAGCTTGGTCATCATCATTTGCAGCTTTTACATTCCATGCTATCAAGATACTCTCTTCCAGTTTTTCATAAAAAGTCAAGTATTCCTTGTAATGCATGCCGTGTAGGAAAATAATCTAAATTGTCTTTGCCTTTATCGAATTTTAAAAGTTTATGCATTTTAGATTTGGTATTTTGTGATGTATGGGGACCTGCTCCTATTACCTCTTCTAATGGACATACCTATTTCCTACTTTGTGTTGATCATTTTACTCATTACATGTGATTTGTCCCTTTAAAACATAAATCTGAGGTGTTTTCTCAATTTAAACACTTTCTAGTTATGGTTGAACGACAATTTAACACAAAACTCAAATCTATCCAAGCTGATTGGTGTGGAGAATTTCGATATCTCCCTAATTTCTTTTCTCCGCTTCGCATCACACATAGACACTCATGTCCTCATACAAGTGATCAAAACGGCTTTATTGACCTTCGTCATCGAAATGTGGAAACTAGACTCACTCTGCTTGCTCAATTCGTTGTTCCATCTCGTTTTTGTCACTTTGCTTATGACACAGTTGTTTACCTGATTAATCGGATGTCATCCCATACATCATCTAATGTGTCACCTTTTGAACGCGCCTTTTTTCACAAACCCGATTTTTCATTCTTGTGTGTTTTTGGCTACTTGTGTTATCCTCATATCCGTCCATATAATAAACACAAAATAAATTTTCGTTCCTTTCCATGTGTCTTTCTCGGTTAAAGTCCCGGTCACCATGGTTACCGGTGTCTCGATGTCACCACTAATCGCATGTATATTGCCCGTCATGTTCTTTTTGTTGAACAACATTTCCCTTTTTTACACACTATTCCTTCACCTGAGATACCTACACCTTCTTACCCATATATCTCCAGTTATCCTATACCTATTTCTTCCTTTGAAACTATCACTCCTACCAATAGCCATCTGCTACCGACAACAAACCAAACACTCCAACCCATTCTGATGATAGCACACACAACAACCCATCCATACCTCCTGCTCCTACTCCCACATCATCAGTTCCTCCACCTACTACCTACAGTAATGCCAATGCTCATAATGATCATCTACCTCCTCGAGTAAGCCCGTATCATCTTCGCCATAATCCCAAAGCTCGTGTTCCATTTAACCCTTATGCCTTCTTTAGCCATACCAACTTCTCTACAATCGAGCCAACAACCTTTTCCAATGACAACAAATCACCAAAATGGCAAGCTGCCATGAATGAAGAATACAATGCACTGATGCGTAATCAAACATGGTCTCTTGTTCCACCTGTTCCTAATACGAATGTAGTTGATTGCAAATGGGTGTATAAAGTTAAAAGGGATCAAACTCGTAAAATCACTCGGTACAAAGCGCGTCTCGTTGCAAAAGGGTTAAACCAACAACCAGGTATTGACTACACCGAAACATTTAGTCCTTTAGTCAAATCTACTACTATTCGTATAGTTCTCTCTTTTGCTGTTTCACAGAAATGGGCTCTACGACAATTGGATGGTCAAAAAGCCTTCTTTCATGGAGAACGCAAAGAGACGATTTACTTACGACAACCACCTATTTTCGTTGATCCTATGAAACCCCATCATCTCTGCTTGCTTCACAAATCTTTATACGGGTTCAAACAGGCGCCTCGTGCATGGGTTCATAGGCTAACAAAGGTTTTATACTAAAACAAACATTGTATTTTGGGTTATAAAAAGCTATTTTCATATTTTTAAAAGCTTAAAAATTGAGTCTTTTACCATCTCACAAGTTACAAATCCATCATTACGACTTGCACAAAGTCACAAAAATAAAATACGACAACTTCAACAATACAAACAAAAAAAGAAGTACGATATGCCCAAAAAACATGACCACTTCAATATATCACCAATTTTCATCTATTGCCTTGAACTCTTCATTGTTTGACATTTGAATATCCTCCATAAGATATAATAATAATAATAATAATAATAATAATAATAATAATAATAATAATAATAATAATAATAATAATACATGTTTATATTAACTTAGTCAATGTAAAATTATAAAGGGATATAATGTTAATCACCTCATTTCCCTCCTCGTCTTCATCAGAATGTACATTACCGCCATCAATCACACAACCTTCTTTCAGTACTTGCAAGTTATTGAAGTTCAAAAGCTTTACCTTCTTTCAAAATTTTACTTGTTTCACTACCTGTATCACCAACAAGGTCACCACCAACACCACCACCACCTGAAAGAAATGCTAAATGGATAAGTCAAACGCTTAATGGATTACAATGTTTGCTAGCTAAACCATTTCAAAAGCACTTTTAGGCTTATTGTTCAACTTATTCCGCCGGGAAAACTAGGGTTCAAACAGTCAGTGGAATTTCTAAATGCAGGAAATGTTTCAAATGTTAGGATCCATAACTACACACTTGTTCAGTTGAAGAAAATGAAAAAAAAATGGAATATCATCCACATGCATCAGTATGTGTTACTAGGATTTTATATCTAATTCTTAAACTTTGTCATGCTACAAGGCTGAATAAATATATTCTTTCGGTTATGCAAAGTCATGGTTGGTTCCAAATTGAGTTACATTCCGGAAGAGAATAAATAAGCTATCCTATGGATCTAAGCTTACATCTCACAATAAAGAATACAAACTGCTAATTGTGATGTAAAAAACATTATAAATGGACTATGGACTATGCTAATCATTTAAAATTTCATACTGACCCATGATTTGCTAAGTCTCTAAAGTTTAATATAATCAATGGAAAAAGGAAGAAAGTACCTCTTAAGATGGTTCTCTGTGGATTGGCTCCTTAATTCTGTTGGTGCATGTGTGCTATTCACAGCTTGTATGTAGCAGAAGGATCCATTTTCTGAGGTCTCTATCTTGGTTGTAAAAGCACACAACTGATCAAGAAGTGATATGGATCCGAAAATACACAGACCATTCATCGAAGAAATGCTGTGTGGAAGATGACTTATTCCTGTATCCACTACATCTAAAACTTCTAGAAGATTTAGATTTCCAAATTCCTCTGGCAATTTCTGGACTTGACTACAAAAGTGGAGAAAGAGATACCTCAAACATTTCATCTTACAGATGCTGTTTGGAATATCTCCTACAGATGCACACTTTGTCAGGTTCAGCTCCTCTAAACATTCTAATTGCCCAATATCTTCGGGTAACTTCTCAAGAAACTTACAAGAATCAAGTAGTAGACATTTCAGATGAATTAGCATGCAAATGCTATCTGGAAGATGTGTAAGAATTGTAGACGACACATTCAGCTCCTCTAAATTTTCCAACCAACCAAGATTCTCCGGCAACTCTTCAAGATGCTGGCAATCTATAAGGCTGAGAGATTTTAGACATTTCAACATACAAACGCTATCAGGAAGACATTTGATGTGTGTAGAGTACAAAGTGAGCTCTTCTAAGCATTTCAACTGGTCAAGGTCATTTGGCACCTCTGGAATACAGCCCTTAAATGTAAGGCGTCTTAAATGTTGTAAAAAACCAGTTCTCCCTGAAACACTCTCAAGTTTTGTGCAAGGCTGGAGATCTAGGAAGACACCCTTGCGATCAATTTCAGTTTTCGAGGGTTGTTCTTTAGAATAATAAAATGTAAATTGTAGCACTGGTAGATTGCTTGTTGAGTCCCTTAGGAATCCCTTCAAGCACTCCACAGACACAATTAAGTTAGGTATACTAAGAAGCACAAGTGATTCCAATTGTTTGAATAATGAAGAAGATACAGACCATGAGCAACCAACTAAATTTATGAAGATGAGCCTTTTTAGGCATCCAGCTGGAGCATAAATTTCTATCAAATCATGACATCCACTAAGATCTAAATTCTCTAGATTAGGAGTCATCCGAAGGTCAAGGGTCCTCAACTTTGAATCTCTAAGACCGAGGAACCTGAGCTTCTTAAGAACCTATCACATGCAAAAAGAACATAAATTAGACGAGTATTTCTGTATCTAATAACAAATAGACGAAAGGCATTACGAAATGTACCTTTCTTTCTCCACTTCCCCAAAGTTGCACAATTCTGCTTTTAGCCAATTCAATTCCAACAAGATTATTTGCTAGAAATGTTTGGGGTAAAGACAAACCAGGGTAAGCACGCCAATAAAGAAACTGTAACGAATTCGGAAAGTATTGTTTTGTTTGATCAAAGTTCCAGCCACTAGGGAAGCAGTCATGGAGGTTCCCATAAAGAGAAAGATATCTAAGTCTGTTCAGATTTCCAAGTTTTTTTATGATAATTTCAGGATTCAGTTCCTTCGGCATCAGCTGCAGTCCTATACATGTTGATGCTTCAGTACCCTATAATCCAAAAGCAGTCACCATGAAACTTGTGTCATATATGTAATGAAAATTTGTTAATTTTAGTAAACATGATCCTTACCGAATCATCAATGAATAGTTCTTCAATTTCCTCGCGAATCCAGAGTCGGCTATGTTTGTTGGGCTCATGGGGGTGCGATCGCCTAACAATATTCTTGCCCAATTCTTCTATCTTATCGTGCATGCCCAATCTACCATTTAAAATTGTTATGAGAGATCTTTGCTCAAGAATTCTTAAACCATATGCAGCACTATATCCACAGCTATCAAGCATTCTAATTGCATATCCTTTAGGAAACCCCTTCAAGAAGCATGCAACATCTAAGAACAATTCCTTGTGATCATCCTCTAGGCTGTTATAGCTTATTTCCAATACCTCTAGAGTTTCCCGTGATGGAATTGTTTTTAGTCGTTTTAGTGCACCTCTCCATACATCCTCATTTTCACCACGCAGATGCGAACCCAAAACTTTAATTGTCAAGGGAAGACCAGCAGCATAACGTACTACTTCTGATGAAAGCTTTTCAAACCCTTCATCTGGAATATATCTCCTAAATGCATACCTACAAAAGAGGCTCATTGCTTCCTCATCAGACAACAAACTGACATCATAAATCCAGTTCACATTCACTCCATGTGATAGCAGCACTTTCTCATCTCTCGTTGTAATGATGACTCTACTTCCGTCCTTAAACCAGTCACCAGCTAACGCCTCAAGCTGCTTTGCATCATCCACATCATCTAAAACAAGAAGAACTTTCTTATAGGGTAGCCTCATTCTCATGATTCTTTCCCCTTCATAAACACTTCCCACACGCATGTGTTCATCGTTTAGAACACCTGAAAGTATATGTTCTTGTAATGATCGCAAACCTTCCTTTTTTGAAATTTCCATTCCGTTCTTCTGTTTTGATAGTTCCCTTACGTCCTCAACAAAGATACTACCTTCAAAACCGGAAGATACTTTATCAAATATAGCTCTGGCTAAAGTTGTTTTCCCAATGCCTCCCATACCCTTGATCCCTATTATGCGCGCTTTCTCGTTCAAACCAATTCCCAAAGACGACTCCAGCTCTTGCATCCTGCGGTCCATGCCTATCAGATTTTCATCATTGCGTAAATGAATGGAACGTAGCTTTAGGGAAATCTCTTCACCAATTTTCTTGATAGCTTCAGCTTCATGTCTGTAGATCAAACAAGACTTAAGTGGTTTTCTTAAGATCCAATATGATTCTACCGCATATTTTTTGTTTCATATAAACAAGATCAGTGTAAGCTGCTGTGTTTTTCAGGCTCAATTAAAAAAAAAAAAAAAGTAATTTTTGCTGATGTTGAAACAGGGGAAAACAGAGGGGCTTAAGGAGCTGTTGCAAAAAAGGCAAATATTTCTCTTAAATTTAAAGGAAACCGACAAACGGTTACAATGGATTGCAATACAAGCAAGGAAATAGGTAATACTTACTCACACACACATACATGCATACATTGTGTGGGACCCAAACACTCACATACGCCCTTTAAGGGTTCATTTAGCATCACCCATACCCAAAGAAGTAAAATAAAAGTAAGATGTGGTGAATTGAAGGCTGAAATATATTTAAACTTGTTGCGAATATGAAGGAGGTTCAATAAACTTAAAGTTAGAATTTTACAATACGACATCAATACAATGGATGACGCTTTACATCCCTGAAGTGAGGATCTAGATTAGATATACCAAATTGAAAGACTTTTATCGCATATATATGATGAAGGAATTTATACCCGTTAGCAATTGTTTTCAGATCCCACCCAACCAGATTGCCTGCATTTTCAAGAGCCTTTTCCCATTTCTTAATCTGTTTGTTGGTCTTATGTTTGCTGATGGCTGTTTTAACTGGCCCACTTCTATTGCGGATGTCCCTGGGCTCCACATCATAAAAGAGTGGGTAAGCAACCTGTTGCTTCTCATCCTGACATTCCATAATCTTTGTAACCTCCTTCAAACACCAAGACGAAGATGCATAGTTTTTGGAGAAAATAATGATAAAGAACCTCGACTCTTCAATGGCTTTAAAGAGCTCATCGATCTGTTTTCCTTTCTCGAGCTCCTCGTTATCCCTGAAGGTGTGAATACCTAGTTGCTTAAGAGAAGCATAAAGATGATCAACAAAGGTCTTACGTGTGTCTTCTCCTCTAAAGCTTAAGAACACATGATACTTAAAGCTCTTTTGATTGGATGATGTTGAAGAAGACGCCATTAAAGGTTTTCTTGATGGATCTTCTATAAATGGAATCGTTGTTGGGAGAGATTCTTACGAAATAATTGCAAAGAAATTAGGTATGCATGAACCACGCAACCCAATGATCGGCAAGAGCTAGTAATTTCAACCAAGCGATGACGTACATTTCTTAATAATAAACAATACACGTCTAAGGAAGAAATTTCAAATGCCCCGCCAAATCGCAGATAATAATAATAATAATAATAATAATAATAATAATAATAATAATAATAATAATAATAATAAAACAAATATATAATCAACCCTAAACCAAACTTTTGCAATTATTGAATGGGAAAGTCAACGAAACTTTTGTATTATGTGTTAGATTAAATTACAAATTCGTCCTTGTGGATTCCAAAATGTATTAGTTTTAGTCCTCATGATTCATTTTTTACGGTTCTTTCCTTATTTTGTAGTTTCATTGAACCTTTGGTCCCTTGACCTAACACCAGTTTAGTTGTAACTTTTAACAGTTAAACCCGCTCATGTGCTGGTTGCTTCGATCAAATCACCTATCCATTTTATCTCTCTCTCTTAAAAACTCCCACAAATCCAACAAATACACAAATCTTCCACCAAGTAAATGCTCAGGAGGAAGATGGCTTATGCTTTCACTACTGTACATTTTACATTTAACCCTCTTAAACATTTCGATCATCCAAGTCCATCAGGCAATTCTTTTAACCTGAACACAAATGTGAAGTATATAGTATAGCAGCAATGGAATGCATGTAGGGAGTTGGCTGTCAGGTGCAGTTTGGATAAAGAAAGAACCTCCGGTGATAGTGATTCTGACGTTTGGTAAAGGAAAATGAGTCAAAGCTTGAACAACCGCTGAACCGCATAAGTCGACGTGGACAAGCCTTGTTAGATTTTCAACGGACATGAGTACAGAGTTACCTGTTACAGCCCTATAAGAAATATACAAAATTATGATCCAGAAGTTATTCTCGTGGAGTAATTTAGTAATTTATTGACTTACACAGAGAACCCTGGCACATCTGACCCATAAGTAGCTGATCTTATGAGTTATGTCCTTCTCAACTAGAACTGCAACGTCGATGCCAAATCCATCACACACACAAAGAGTCAATCCAATTCGCAGGTTGGTTTCGGGTGGGTGTTTGAGGTCTTTCGGCGGGGCTGAAGGGCGGTGAAGGATGGTTTAATGGTGTTGTGTGGCTTGGCACAGGAAGGAGTAGCGGATGAAGAGTAGAGGAAGAGTAGGAGATAGAGACGAACAGAGAAGAGAAAGAGGGTGAGGGATGCGGATCTGGCAGACTAGCATGGTGGTGTGTGGTTTTCCGACGACGAAAGGCGACAGTGGTGCTAATGTCTCTGTTTTACTAAATTTTGAATTAGAAAAAGAAATGCGAAAGACTAATCTATGGAAGCCATACAAGAAGGCTTAACAGTTAACAAACGAGGGATGACGAACATTAGGCCTTGTGGTATACATACCACATACCACGGATGGATTCGTGGTCTAGTTGGCCATGAGAAAGCATCGTGCACACCACCCCGACGTTCCGTGGTCGTGCTCCTTCGTGCTCCCGACGACGAAATCAAACGAAGAAGATAATTGGTGTTTTGTTTTTTTGGCCGTTGAACGACTACTTGCCCGTTTCTTTTTTTTTTCAAACTCAATTCACTTATAAATAAACCTTCTATTTTCACCAAAACTTACACCTCATTCTATTCTCTAAAACCACGAAACACATATACATGGATTCCACAAAACATATGGATTTTTTAAAAACTTTTGACTCGGATGACAACGTAGAATTCGTCGAGACATTCTTCAATATTGTGCAATACATTTACGACAAAGAAAGTTCGAATGCAGCTCGTACAAGGGCGGTCGTCAATCGTGATCGCTAAGCCGCATACGACTTATTGGTACGTGATTACTTTGCTGATAATTGTCTTTATACTGACGACTCATTCGAACGTCGTTTCCATCTGAATAATGCTATATTTTTACGTATTAGTAATGCTTTAAAATCTCGTTATTTTTTTCAGACAAAAACCTGACGCTAGAGGAAGAATCGGTTTTAGTAGTATACAAAAATGTGTGGCTGCTCTTACTCTCTTAGGTATTTGAGATACGGTATAACATTTGATGCATCTGACGAATACTTGAAAGTATATGAGAGGACCGCAGTTGAATGTGTAGATTGGTTTTTTGCATGTGTTTATGAGGTTTTTCATGAAGAATATTTGCGCAAACCTACTCAACGTGATATTGAGAGATTATATTTGGTTCATGAAGAGAGGCATGGATTTCCGGGTATGCTTGGCAGTCTAGATTGTACGCATGTGGCTTGGGAAAAATATCCAAATGCGTGGCGTGGTCAGTTCACTCGAGGAGATATAGGTGAACCAATTATCATCCTAGAAGCTGTTGCATCTCAAGATTTGTGGATATGACATGCCTTTTTTGGAGTAGTGGGTCTAACAACGACCTTAATGTTCTTGGCCGGTTTCCACGTTTCAACAATATTTGGACCGACAAAGAACCTGATATGACGTTCACGGTGAACGGGTATGCGTACAAATATGGTTAGTACCTTGGTGATGGGATATACCCGAATTATCCTACATTGATGAAGGCATACTCGGTTCCTCAAAGTGAAAAAGCAAAGTTGTTTACAAAAAAACTGGAATCGGCGACAAAGGATATCGAGAGGGCATTTAGAGTCCTTAAGCAGACATGACATGTAGTGAAATATGCTACACGAATCTGGGATAAAGAAAGAATTAAACGGATGGTCCTAGCATGTATTATAATGCATAATATGATTATTGAAGATGAAGGTTGAGCGATATGCACCTATGATCCGAACGACGTTGTCCTTCCAATTGAGGAGTTCTTACCCAGAACGAGCGCGTTTTTAAAGCGAGTTGTTAAAATTCATAACAGTGAAATGTGTTTCAATCTTCGAGAAGATGTCGCAAAATATTTGTACGAACGTATCATGAACGACGATTAGGTTTTTTATATGTATGCTTGTTTGTTTTTTTAATTAATGTAATGTTTTTTTTTTCTAGATTAACTAAGTAATGAAGTTTGAAGTAATTTTATTTTTATAATTAATGAAAAACTAGTTTAGAATGCTTTTTAATTATAAAAAATGTAATTTTATTGTATTTTTGAATTAAAAAAATATAAATAATGATGTAGAGTAGTGTGTTAGTGGTAGGTATCTCATGTTAGTGGTAGGGGAATGTGGTGTCTTAGGTCGAAAACGTAACAAATGTTCGAAGTGAGGAAACAAATACTTTTTTGTAATGTGTAAACCATAGCGAGGTGATTGCTTACGTGACAATCGTTGATTTAAGAAGTCAAACAAATTTGAATATTATTTGTTATTTAAGTTTTATATTATTGTTTATTGTTATGAACATTTTTATGCATGACTTTTCAACATTTTATATTTACTTTTATTGTATTTTATGTATTTATTCAATGCATATCCCCGAAGTTTGTAATTTCCCCAACATATTCCCCGAAGATCTCGTAGGAGTTCCTCCTGAACGTCAAGTCGAGTTCCGAATCGACTTGATTCCGTCATACATGCAAGAACTATCCAATCAACTAAACGAACTTCTAAGCAAAGGATTCATAAGGCCAAGCTTCTCACCTTGGGGAGCATTGGTCTTGTTCGTGAAGAAGAATGATGGATCGTTCCGCATATGCATAGACTACCGGGAATTAAATAAACTCACTATACAAAATGATACCCTTTACCTCAAATTGATGACCTCTTCGACCAACTACAAGAAGCAAGTTTCTTCATAATTATTGACTAAAGACTAAGATACCATAAGCTACGAGTCTAGGAGGAATATATTCCTAATACTGCATTCAGAACTCGCTACATCACTATGAATTCGTCGTAATGCCCTTCGTTTAACAAACGCACCTGAAGTGCTCATGGACTTGATGAACCGTGTGTGTCAACCTTACTTAGACAAGTTCATAATAGTTTTCATCGATGATATACTAGACTACTCCCGAAGTAAGGAAGAACATAGTAAACACTTACGACAAGTCTTGGAAACATTAAGGGCAGAGAAGTTGTATGTGAAGTTTTCGAAATGCGAATTCTAGATACGAAAGGTGGACTTCCTAGGTCACGTAGTCAGCGAAGAAGGCATACATGTGGATCCCTCCAAAATCAGAGCTACCGAAAGCTGGGCGACCCCACAAACCCCAACATAGATTTGTCAATTTATAGGCCTCGTTGGCTACTACAGAAGGTTCATTCAAAACTTCTCGAAGATCGTGAAGCCACTTAACACCTTGACTTAGAAGGGTAACCTTTAGCTATGGGGAGAAACAAGAAACTGCTTTCCAAACACTAATACAAGCCTTATGCAACACCCCGATCTTGTCCCTCCCATAAGGGATGAAAGATTTTGTAGTTTACTGCGATGCGTCCAAGCAAGGGCTAGGTTGCATTCTTATGCAGCGAGGAAAGGTCATATCCTATGCCTCGAGACAACTTAAGAACCACGAGGTCATCTATACCACGTACGACTTCAAACTGGGAGTAATAGTTTTTGCTCTAAAGATCTAGAGATATTACCTTTATGGTACGAAGTGCACAGTCTTCACAGACTACAAAAGCCTCCAGCACATCTTCGATAAAAAAAGAATTGAACATGAGGCAATGACGATGGGTAGATCCACTCAATGATTACAAATGTGAGATTCCCTATCATCCTGGCAAAGCCTATGTTGTAGGAGATGCTCTTAGTTGAAAAGAGTACTCGGGCCGCTGAGTAAAGTCTTTAACTATGATCATCCACTCACACCTGTCCACACATATCAAAGAGACTCAGTTGGAAGCCTTGAAACCTGAGAATGTGATAGGTGAAGCCTTAAGAGGAATGGATAAAAACCTAGAAGTTAAAAGTGACGGAGTTTGTTATCTCATGAATCAGATCTAGACACTGAAGTTTGGTGCTACAGAGATGTTGTCATGAACGAAGCCCACA